ATGATTTGTCATCAGTATTATTTAAAAGAAGAAAATTCCTACTACCAGAAGAATAATATCAGATCAAAATTCTCCGAATTGGAAAGTTTACCAGTATAACTACTGTCTGCTCTCCTCCTCTATAGGGGAAAATGTAGGCCGTACGTAAGCCTAAATTACATCGTTAAATTCGAACATACTGAATGCCCACTAGGGTACCCACCCAGCTAGCGAACTAAACACAGTTTTAAAACATGATCGATTTAATAATAAGGTAGGATATAACACAACAATAAAGTTCTAACATTGTTTATTTAGTAAATTGCAACATTGCTTACGTGTTGAAAGCTGGTAAACTATATTTCAAGATTGTTTATGCATTGATTATCAGGCCGACGATCCAGCCTACGATCATTGCAAAGCTAATTAAAATAACAATGACCTTCGTAGTGGTTCGTAGCTACGTTCCAAACGGTACCTACGAGCAGGCTACGAGTGGTTACGCGCAGATACGAAGCGATATTTCCTGACTGTACTGTACAATACAAAAAGTTTTTTTTTTGTTTTTTTTATGTGTGCGATTAAAATCATGCTTAGTTGTGCTGGATGGACATAACTGCTTCTTTATAAAAACAATCAAATCACAGAATTTCCTTTTTAGACAAGTCAGTACTAGTGATATTGGCAGTCTATGAGTGAGATACCTGGATAAATGGACTAATCATGAGTAAGAATTGTCAATTAGTCGATTTATCTACAGGTTTATCCAGGTAATTTTCAAAATTAAGCTTATAATGTTAATGATGCTATCGGTCAAAAAGATAAGAAAATGCTTTAAAAGGATCAAATGATCTAATAGCTTCCAACAAGGAACAGATAAAAAAGCGTAATGTTCACATATTTACATACATCACATTTTAATAGTGTAAAAAAAATCCTGAAATTGATTACCTGCCAGTTTAAGGATCTATGCTAAAGAATAAAGGAAAGTTACTACTACTCAATTTTAAATTTTTTCATATTCAGTTAATTAAATATATGTATGACTGATAGTACATCTATAAGTTACATCATACTACTGTATTACTTTCTCATTCATTATTTCAATGTTACTCATTAATTCATTCCATGCCATTTATATTCAGTTCTATTTCAGTTCAGTTTTATTTATATCCTTTTTTATTTAATTAGTTTATAACCTAAAGACAAATGTATAGAGGTTTGCCTATCAAAATTCATATATACCATTTATTTATTCTAGTTTATCATTAATTTTGTAAAGTTTTTCTTAACATTCAACAATTTATTATTCATTTCAATTAAGTTTTTTCATTTAAATTCATTTATTTCATTATATTTTTTTTATTTGCTCATTTATACATTTTTCCATATATTCATGAATTTCTGTTTTCCTTATTTATATTTCTTCATTTCTGTTCTGTACATACTGTACATGTACATTGTCAACTTTTGACTTTCAAAACAGTAATTGTTATTCCACTATGTACAGTATTGTGGATTACCGGTACTTTTATACAGCCCTACCACAAATATTGTTATGCAAAAATTCTAAATAAAGTTTGGTGTCAACTCTTTGTCAACTGACATGTATACAGTAGCTCATTATGAAATAATTTTGTAGCACTAGAAAGAAATATTGATGATTGTTTTGTAATGATAAATTTGGGTGACAATATTTTATACAGTACTGCCACAAACTATTGCAATTTTTCTTGCGTGCAGGCTTCATAGATACATTGTCTGACATAAACAATCTAAGCAAGGCTAATCGAAGTGAATCTACGAAGCAAAAATCGTGTTTATTTGTATGTGCAGAAAGACTGCTGTAGCTATACTGGAATAAACCAATGTATTGCTTGATGATTTGTGAATTGACAAGCACAAGTTTAGACCCTTAATTTAAAGTATGGGGCTGTTTTTCATTTAAAAAAAGTGTTTGTAGTCATTTGGTACATATACAGTAGAACTTAGTGGAGTGATTAAGTACTGTACTTTGTAAAAAATTGATTGTTGTTATTTTAATGATGAAAAGTAATTATCGAAGTACCTTAATTGTAATCTGTTCCTTAACATAACAGTGACCTTATGATATTTATTTACGAAAATTTTAATGTGTTGTCCTCAGATTTAAGAGAACAAATTTAGACACAGGTTTTTGAAGCAGTTTCAAGAATCTACATTAGGGTTGAAAAATAATGCATTGGGCTTTTTTGTTCTTAATAGGAACCTTTGCAATCGTCATGTGTATGCATGTGTGTGAGCATGTGAGTGTGTCTGTGCATGCATTTGACGTCATCATAGTTTGTAAACAAACAAACATGAATTTGCAAACACTTGTTAATGATTATTTGCATACATGCAGCACTGGTCCATTAGTTGTGCTCACCCCTTCCCCATGAAAACTTAAAAAAAACTAAAATGTATAAAACAACACTTATAAAATTCTTAATATTATCGATAACATTAATAGGAACCGCTAGTCCCCTTCAGAGTCTGCTTTGCAATGGACTTGGAACATAATTGCAGTATGTTATTACTTACAGCTCTCCTCTTGTGTATCGTTAATCACATATATGAATATGTTTTCTACTGGCAGAAGTTGTTTTTGATATCAAAATTTGTTACAATGAGTTACTTCATGATTGCTTTTCTGTGGAAAGGTTATTAAATAGATGTTATCATCTGCACTATTGAATTTCAATTCTATCAAAATCATGTCCTTGAGAAAATTACTTGGTGATTGATAGCAATGTTAACATTTGGAATTCTCACCACCTACCGTATATTCTCGCGTATAAGACAAGTCTTAAAAAATAGCAAATTGCCAAAAACAGGTTCATCTTATAAGTTTTAAATCATGTTTGTCTTATGTGTGGATCATCCATAACATGCAAATTTACTGCTGAAATGAAGCTACTAACTGTTTGTATGATTGAATGCAATTTTAACTGCGGGTATATAAGATTTTGATGAACATTTAAAATAAAAGCCCATAAAATGATATTATTTGGAAGATTAGCCCTACATTTGGTTTGTAGCCAGCTTGATGCAGTATCAAGACTATAAGAGCAGCCAAAAGTAGGAATTCAGACAGTAAAACTCTGGGGTCATCTTATACGCGAAATGCCTCATACACAAGAATATACAGTAATAATGATAGACCTTATGACAAGGAAAATTTCACTTTTTTCCTGTCATTGTATATGAAAAATTGGGTTTTTTTTGCCAGTTACAGAGGCTGTAGCCTTCAGTACCTTCTCTATAGATATCAGCTTGTGATTCTCTTTCCTGATTTAAAAATGTTTTCAACAGGTAATATGATACCAGTCCATTTTCAGTTGCTTTTCATGTTCTGCATTCAAAATAAAAAGCGTATTTGCGAACTCAAATAGTCAAACTGTAGAACAGTTATATTCAGCTGTGCTACACATTTCTCCATACATCATTAAAAGCTGTGGGATTTATCCATCCACTTTATTTATTTATTATTATTTATTAGGGCTTGTCAATAGCAAACATATTACTATCCTACTTGTAGGTGACAATTTCTTCCACAAGATAAACATGATGCTGTACGCAAACTAAATTTCAATATGAGGTTAGGGAGTTATTTTGGTCATGAGGAATTAAACCTAGGACCCCGAGATTGTAAGGCAAGCATCTCAACCACCAAGCTATTTAACTCTGTCTCCTGTACCATCCTTACCATTTTCCACTTTCCTCATTAGTTGCCCAGATTTAGAAGTTTTTCTTCAGATATATTTGTTACAGTTATATTTACTAAAAAGAACCATGTCAGATAGTCATAGTACTATAGTAGACTAGTTTTGAATGATTTCCTAGCTGTGGTATTTTAACCTTGACCAAAAACCAAAAAGACCTTGTCTAAGTATTTGTCATGAAGATGGGAGTGCTTCAGTTTCCTCTGTAATGACTTTTTCAATTTATTTAAACTTCAGTACAGATATATCGGGTATATTTATTGAGAGAAAAATCACATACCAAAATAATCCATTGCAGTATGCTGAATTGTGTGACTGAATATACAATACAAAAGAATAGCATTAATTAATTTCTATATAAAACCATATATTAAAACATCAAACTACCCTATATCCTTGTCATATCGTACTTTTTAATTAATCTTTG